AATGGCTTATGGAATATTTACAAAATAAATTTGAAGTTTTAAAATTTGTTTCCATTTGTGATCATTCGTTTCATTCTGAAAGGCTGTTATTTACCAGGTAAAAAACAAATATTTGGACATGACAGCTGCACAGTTAGACAGACGGAATGTTGCCAGTAAGACTCATTTAGTTGAGCAGTGGTAAGCGCTATCAGCGATGAATTGTGACAACAAATTAGTCCGCAAATTGAGGTAAGGAACTACCGACAGTGCGTAGTATGCGATAAATCAAGGCACAAAGCAGGAATATTTGTACGCTTAACTCGTAATGGTTAAGTTGTTAACAGTCAATTTGGAGGACATGCGAAACCGGAAAGGCCCTCAGAACATTTTAGCACCTTTTTAATCCTACCGATTTGGTGACGCTGCGTAGATTGAAATCGCCGATTCATAGTTTACTAAGAGGAAGTCTGTTTCTTTGCCTCATACTTTAGGGCGTATGGCAAGGATAAGCCCTATTAATCTTCTCGGGCTTGTCGCAAAGTGATGGAAGATCTATGTGACACTGCCGGCCACATTCCACAATTTCGTAGTTTTCTTAAACATTCACCAAATATCTGTTTACATATCTGGAACGTGAAAGAATGCTTCAAAATATCCCAATGCAAAATTCCAAGCTGATTCTCCTCTTGTCAAATGCCACAAATTAAGCAGATCACTAAACCAGACAGTCGCGGACTCTACGACCGCTAACTCTGTATCATTTATTCTCAAGAGCAATTTTCTGCTCATCATAGGCCATATTTCAACTGTTAATAGTTCTTATATGCTATCCTATCAAATAATATTTTTAAAACCCGTTTAATCTCAATGATACAACCACCTTTCTGAGTACTTGTCAAGGAAATGAGACAAGGTCGCTCTAATCACCCAGCTGCTCAGTGCTAGAATGTCTTAGCCCTCATGCGTATACTTATGCCCTTATATACTCTTAATATTTCGTAGAGTCTCATGTTGTAGATTATCCGCTCCGCCAAAAGAAGGCAGTTAAAACTTGAGCCTGTTGCGTTTTAAATTATTAAACTCAATAATCTGATCACGGTATATGCGTAATAATGTTTACATTTTGTTCAAATCGAATACACGCTGCTTTCATTTCGCTTGTCGCTCTCGGGATTTTGGTCTGTTTGTGGCTTCTAGATTCAGCTTTCCCAACACCATGAGCAGCGAAATTCAACCAAGTGATATTTTCACGCAACCATCGCAGGTGTTGTACTTCAACGGACCCTTTAACGACAGCAAAAACGTCCCATTGCGTATAACGAACAAAGGAATGGGACGGATTGTGTGGGCGATGAAATGTACGAATCTGAAGCGGCTCACCATTTATCCACCGGTCGGAGTGCTGGATCCCAAAGAATCGGTAGGAAATTACAAAACTTTGTAATATTCTGAACTAGTCATCTACTATTTTAAAGTATACATTTATTTAAATTTTGATGCAGTCTTTAAATACAGCACATAGGTATCCCTGAGCATTGGATGTGATCCATTCGACAGTCAACTGGGAATCACAGAGCGCGACACCATCACCGTCGAGTGGACAGCCGCTCCGGGAGACGGTCCAAAGAAATTCGATCAAGAATACTTCAATGCTGACGGCATTATAAGGAGAAAGCACCTGCAGGTTGCGTACAATGCATGATTCGCCGCGATAAATAACAACACAATTGAGCCAGAGGGCTTACTTTCGTTAGATAATTCCTTATACTATTTTTAATGCCGTTACTTCGTCATTTGAATGAACTTTAAATTCAGAATTTATTTATGCTGCCATTCTTGGTAGCTACCCAAGAAAGGTAGTACATAAAATGCTAATGGATAGCGACAATTTTTTGGTGCTCGAATGTTCCTGCTCAACCAAGCACAGTGACGTGCTGCATTCATCCTACGCACTGCAGTGCTTAAATAACATAAAACCTGGCCTGCTTAAATGGTTCCCATAGATGACTAGAAGCAAGGGAACGGTGCAGCGTTTTGGCACAACTTGGTGTAAATTGTCATCTATCTTACTCTACCACTCTACTGCTGCAAAGTAAATAACGTTTCTTTACAACTTTATCCGTGCATAGACGGTATCAGTAGTTGAAAGATATTATTAAAATTTAAACTCTTGAATAACGATCTGTTTAAAAATTCACAAGAACGAAACAGAAGCTTCATATGCAAAATTATAAATTTTCAAGTCATTTTCTGGCGGTAAACAAATATAGTGTCCCCAAATCCTACAGCAAAAATGTTTAGTCAGTGTATGTCTTCTGCTCTCAGTACATCTAGCTTTTGCTGACTCCAGTGCCAAAAGGTTGATAGACCTCTGAATTAATTTAAAGAAAAAAGACGTATACAGAAATTCAACCTCGACTGACTGAGAACGGCAGATTTGATGAAGTGTGTTGAGTATGCCAAGGACATGGCTATAATCTGTTGTCCTGAATGAAAATAACCTGCCTCAAATCAACGGAATTTGATAAATTTTCAACTCAGTAACAATAGAGCTGATGAAACCTTTAAATTATAGATTGCCAACGTTCCTGTCGACAACAGCTTTGCCTACAGTTAAAGATTGTGAATTGAGGCAAAGTGAAAACTTAAATAAACAGCAATCCACATAATCTTCAATGCGGGTTCAGTAGCTATGCATAATTATCCAAGATTAGTTTTCACAGATTATCCCTTGCTCACAGTTGTTTACGAGGGTGAGTCATTCAGTTATGCCACGGACTCTATGATATTTAAGTATCTGCAGCACAAGGATGCACCTCGCACCATTTTATTTGAGAGAGCAATCTAAGGTTCATTACGAACAGTGTTTCAGGAACTGAAACTTCTTATACACTATTACACGAACATGATCGTTTTCGTAACATCAAATTATGTTCGTACGCTAGAATATGTGAAATAGCGCATAACCCTTCTAAGACCAGATTTCACGACGTATTGCGCTTCCCCTGCTCGTAGTTGCTTAGTTCAGCATAATGCGGCTTTATGCAAATTAAAAAATTCATTGTTTAAGGAAGAGGAACTTGAGGTTAAGCAATCGACGGGAAACAACAATGAGCTAAAAAACCACTTTTTAATAACATGACAAATCAGTTCTCCCGCGCATTTAATTTTAAAAATGAAATGTTGAAAATAAATAGACGAAATACAAATCACTGATATTCATTCGATTACGAAAACAAAACAAAAACTAACAAACTAGCATTCAGAGCACTTCTCTAACGCATTTTATATGACATACTACCAGTCGCGAACAGCGGGAACATTTTTAATGTTGGTCTCCATAGTCCACCATTTATAGGCTAGAGGGTCTTCGTCGTAAAAGCACTGTTTTCTCGGTACGTAACCCAAAACACTGCCTTCATAGTCGAGAAGACATCGCCACGCAGCACTGCCAAATGCGGCTAAACCTCCGTAAAAAACCCCTCGCTTGAAACCGTCTATAATTATTAAATATTTCATAAAACGGAACAGTACGCAGTAAACAGAACGAATTAGAAAAAAGCAGAAAAAAATCCACTTCAGTATTGGGCTGACACCATATTCTGACTACGCACTTACATTTGGTATAAACGATGAGACCTGCGCCGATTCCACCGATGAACATATTAATCCAGTCGTCCTTTTTTCGGTACCGGCAAACAACGCATGACAGACCAGCCCACACAGCGGCACTTATGGCTGAAAAAAAGAATTAAATTCTTCCCTTGATGTCGAAACAGAAACTTTGAACTTGGTTCGAAATCGAAGCAACGACTAAACAGCTGAACTCCAAGTTGCAAAGAAGTAGGCGTAATGCGCTTCGAAATACTTACACGTTATTTGAGAAGCATAGTTACCGATTTTAACCCATTCACATAGCTTTGCATAAATTTCATATGCCTACTCCAATGATTGTTTGAAATTCAAATTTAAAACTACAATACCATGTAGAAAAAATGTCACTTGAATAACTCAAAGCAATTTGATCGAAGTCGAAATCGAGGTTACATTCATGATGATTATTACACGGGATAATCAGGTTGTATGAGGGGAAATGCAGCCGCAAGGGACGCTCGCATAGGACAATACGGCCATAAACCTCCTCCATTCTGGCATGACCATAGCAGAATACCACGCTGTCCCCATTACTCGCAAATCAAGGAATTATTATCGGTTTCTCAGCTGGCTGCGCGAAAGTAACTTAGGGTTAATTCACTGTTTAACGGAATTTCCAGCAAAGACAAACTGACCTTTTGTCGATTCAAACCCGCCATCTCCAGAGTTCAAAGCCGATTTCTTAGCCACTGTGCCACCACGCCTTATTTGACTATCATGCTTACAGTAAGGGGCGATGCTAAAATAATTGTACAAAAAGTCTAGTATATTTGCAAACTTTTTACGTTACTGTGGTCATCAGACACCGTTCATCGATGACTACACAAATTTGATAACAATTTTCATGTTTGAATCGCTTCCTTGTAACTTTAACAACAGATGCAGCGTTAGCGTCAAAAATCTGCAATACTTAGCTGGCGCCACAAAAGCATAGACTGTTCGAGTCAAACATATCAAACATACTAAAAAGTTGTCTGGCATCCACACACAGCTGGTATTAAACTATCATGAACTCTAGGCTCTTTTAAATGTCCATTCTCTTTCCGCAGACAACTATGAATAGCAACGATTTCGCAACATATCTCGGATAACATTAACGCTATTGTTGGTTATCACAAATGGCTGTAGTTGTGCAAACCAATTGATACTGGTTAAAATCTAAGAATATATTAAGATACGAAATAAACTGTTAACAAACTAAATAAATAATAATATTTATTGAGAGTTAATTTTCTTACTTGGTGTAGCGAAAGTTTTCGGATAATTCATCAGGAATTTCTTGTAATCAAGTGGAAGCGTTGGAGGGTCCACAAATGCGTAATGAAAGAAACACAACGGAGCCCCTGAAAGTTTGAACCTTACAACACTGAA